TGCTTTTCTAATCCCTTGTTTCTCTTTTACAAAATAGCACCTGTGCAACAGGTACTTTTACAACTTGAAATTTCGTTTATGACAGTTTATGCTAACACTAAAACTCACTAATGGACCAAATAAGAACATGTACTCCATCCTTGCATTTCTATTCTCCATTGACTGGTGTAATTATTTATTTTAATGGAGCTCGTCCCAGAAAATTTTATTTTGGGGGGAAAAGATTACATTGAATTTCAAAGCAAAAAAAAAAAAAGCATATCCTACAAATTGTCTGCTTTGCCAACTTTATCAAATGTCACATCGGTGGCATCATCCATCTAAATTCAGGCACACGTTGTAGATATGGTTATATGAAGTCACACACTAATGCAATAGATAAAGCATATCCTATACGTTGTCCGCTTTGCCAACTTTATCAAATGTTGTATCGTGGCATCATCCATCTAAATTCAGGCACACTTTGTAGATACGGTTATATGAAGTCACACACTAATGCAATAGATAAATCTTTTATTGTTTGCCATGTTGACTCTCTCATATCATGATACCTTTTTTGTAGTTCAAATGATTGAAATATAATGTGCACTATAGTATAGCTTTGCTACTAAAATGCAACACTACCTTAAATATGAGGAAAATGCCAATGCTGCATAGAATAAGTCACAATTCCATTGGGAAACCTGTCACATGATTTTGTGTCTTGGAGGTAGAAATTGGAAGCCAAGTCCAGTTAATAACAGTGTAACATGACTGGGGCGAACAACTACCAGCCTGCCTCCACCTGAATGCAATTGTGTGGAACTAGGCAGGTGGCTGTAGAAACTGATCCCATTAATGGGCCCACTCCAAATACACGCGGCACAATCCTGTATTCAATTCCGCTTATTCTATAGTATTTTATAATTTGGTACTGAAACCATTTTTTGGTGGATTTCTTTTGTTGTTATGTGACATCTGCAAAATCATGACTTCTATAAAAACAACTAGGTATTTGTGTTCTGGGTTATTTATAAGACTCTGAGTTCTGGAAAAGTCACATAGCCTCAGAGCTGTGTACACAATGTGGACACACACAATTCAAACCACTTATTTATGTAGAAACACAATTATTAAATCACATGCAAGCAAGATAATGCGCATGATTTCTTTATGGACTTTTTTCATTCATATCACTTGAAATATTAAACATAGATTAAATGACATATATGAATCTTACTCATGCAAAGCTTTTAAAAACTGAAGTCTCTTTTTCATGCATTACCTGATATTTATCCTGCAAGTTTGCTTCTATCATCTGTGCCCTTGTCAAATCTCTTTCGAATTGCTCTATCCAAACTTTTGTTTCCTTCAGCATTAGCCTGTCTTCTCTCTAGGAACCAGCAGATGTTATAATTTTATTAGTAACTGTGCATTTAATTGCTGATTAATACCAGATTGATCCTAGAGTAGACGTAATATTCAATCATTCAGTTATCTCTGAAAACTCTTCTCTCTCCCCACCATCACGCCTTATTGGAGATAAAAATCAAGAGTGAATTCTGTAAAAGTACATTAATTTTATTTGAATACTAAAATTATCTCTATTTTTTCTCTCAATAACACACACACACACTAATGTAATTAAGAAAATGTTTACAAAAAGGGAATGTCTTAAAGGGAATGGTAGAAGTAGAAAAGTATATTGGGTGTATTCCCAGCAAGAAAATTTTACCATACCGTGTGAACTTTACTAAACCATGTGACCCAATATTGGGCAGAAGAGATGCGATTCACTCAGGATTATAAATTAACTGAATACTTACCTATTTCAAGTAATGACTTCCTTCTTAATTATTTAAAATATAAAAAAGTCTTTAATTTTATTTTCCATTTCAAATATAATAAAAACAAATATTATCACTGTAAGGTTTCGTTTTTATTAGTGCTATTAAGTGTTATTCAAGAGGCATTAATTGATGTCATTATATATTTAAAGATTAGTGGAAAAATCCATGGGAGTGGCTTAGACTGTAATTAACATTCTACAATAAGTACATGTGTTATTTGTTCTAATAGAAAGGAAAAGAAAACAACAGAATTAAGGTATTAAAAGAAACGTGTATATAAAAGCAAATACATGCAAAAGAATGGCTAACTAACTATGGAATGGAGGATGCTTGAAAGAAGTCACTAATTCAAGATTACTTAAATCTTACCTTAAGATTTTGGATAGAATTTGCAAAAAGTAGGAAATCTGGAAATATTTCCTAACAATATGAAAAGATAATATATAGGAACGTAATAAAAATCAGGGACAAAATTATATAGGAAACAAGAAAAGAACAATGGGGAAGCATTTGTCTATAAATAAATAGATAGTAATTTTAAGGGTATAGTTACTTTAAGATGTTTTTCATAGTTTTTTAAAAATATATTTTTATTGATTTCAGAGAGGAAGGAAGAGGGAGAGAGAGATAGAAACATCCATGATGAGAGAGAATCATGAATTGGCTGCCTCCTGCACATCCCCTACAGGGGATTGAGCCCACAACCCGGGCATGTGCCCTTGACCTGAATTGAACCTGGGACCTTTCAGTTCACAGGCTGACGCTCTATCCACTGAGCCAAACCGGCTAGGGTTTCATAAGTTTTTTTGTGTGTTTTTGTTTTGTTTTCATAACTTTTGAAGTATCAAATGTTTGAATTCAATAAGGCAATATAGTATTCTGGCATTTGATATTTTCATTTTAATTTGTAATAGTCATATATGGCAATATATGCATTTTATAAATGTCTTTTATAAATGCATTTTGAAATTTTAAACCTTTTAAAAGAATAATGTAGCCTGGCCGGCATGGCTCAGTGGTTGAGCGTCAACTGTAAACCTGGAAGTCATGGTTCGCTTCACCATCAGGGCACAGGCCGGGTTGTAGGCTCGATCAGCATGGCTCAGCGGTTGAGCGTCAACTGTAAACCTGGAGGTCATGGTTCGCTTCCCCATCAGGGCACAGGCCGGGTTGTAGGCTCGATCCTCAGTGCGGGGTGTGCAAGAGGCAGCCAATCAATGATTCTCATTGTTGATGTTTCTGTTTCTCTCTCCCTTCCTCTTTGAAATCAATAAAAAATAATAATAAATAAAAAAGAACAATGTCAAGAATAGGTGCGTGGATTTATTTATTTTTTCTCTCTAAAAATATGATCAGAGTATGCATCTCTCTCTGTCTCTATATCAACAATTAAGGCTATGCTGTGCTTCTGAAAGCAGCCAGTAATATTTGTTGCAATGAGAGAAGGAATAAGTGATAAACAACTGAATATTTAATTGGTGAGACACATGGATCAATAGGACTATTTTTTTAAAAATTTACCATTGAGTACTGATTATCCAAGGAATATCTTTAGCTAAAAGTTTCTTTATCTGTTTTATTGATTGAGGTAGAAAATTATTGTGTATATTCCAAGAAAGAAAATTTCATTTAAAATGGTATCTAATTTAAATAAGATTATTTAAATAAATTCATAAAGAGGACATAGAAATCAATTACACTAAAAATGGAAGCCTGGTAGATATATTGATGCCAATATTTTAAAAATTAATTTTAAAAAAGCACTATTTACTAAGACTTGCGTAGACAAGTACTGAGTGTTTGAAGTGATGGCATCAATAGCCCCCACAGGGATAGTCTATAAAATCTTCATGGTTCATGAGGCACAATTAGGAGGTCATTTAGCTTCATTAAATGACTTTACATCATGAAAATATACATTTTTCTACTCAAAGTAATCATTTTAGGTGGTTATACCCAACTTCACAAATGCCACATTAAAAAGGGGCAAAGTTTAAAATATATTTTTCTCAAAATTAATTTTTGAAATAACCCTGTAGAAATCATTCGCATCCACTTTTTAGGGAAGGGACAGAGGGTATTTTTAAAAGAACAATCAGAACTTTTTTTTCAGATAGTGAGAATGATCTCAGGGAAATAAAGTCTCTTTAGTAAAGTACATTAACAAGTTTATGCCAGGCGTGTGTGTGTGTGTGTGTGTGTGTGTGTGTGTGTATTTCAAGTCTCTAAGGGTTTTTGTTTTAAATTCCTGTTCGTCAAGGGCAGGGGGGGGAAAAAAGACACATATGTAATACCCTTTGTAATACTTTAAGCAATTAAAAAATAAAAATAAAAAAAATAAAAAAATAAATAAAAATAAATAAATAAATAAATAAATAAATAAATTCCTGTTCGTGAGCAGCAGGAAAGCACCCCCTTTTGTTCCTCAGACTTCCCAGCCACCAAATTTACTCGTCCAGAGAGATGATTAATGTCAGAAATTAAAATACTACGAACTCTAAAACCAGATCAGAAATAAATCCAATTGGGTAACATGAAGACATTAGATTTGAAAATCAGAGGGGAAGCTGCTTTTCTGGAGGCGGTGTTGTCTAAAGTGCTTTCTTAGAGTTTCTCATTTACATAGCAGCACCCCTGCCTGATTATAGTCTCAGAAACCCAGAGATCTCCCAGGGCCCTCAGCATGTGACTGGAGGTCTATGCTGGGATTTGCAGAGTCTGAGCTTTGGCCTCCGGGGATGGTCCGTAGGGACAGTTACTCTGCTAGCCATAGGTAAGTTAGTCACTCAGGTGGTCCATGCTTCTGCCCGAATCCTGGCGAGGAACAAAAGAGGTTTCCTGAATCTGTAGTTTTTAAGAAACTACTATAGTTCTATCAAATGCCGGATTAACTTCATCCAAGCAACCAGGGACAGGGTTCTGCTTAATTCTCTTATGAAGTCACTGATTTCTGTTAGTGCAACGCCTTTTCCTATTTGAAAAGTTTGGGCTACGTTCCCCTGGCCTTTTCCCTGTTTCTGAGTTTATTCCGAAAACCTATTTTATTTTGTTCTTTTGTTTTTGCTGTTGCTCTTCATCGTGTTCTCAAACTGCTCTGAAAACTCTCGATGAGATTTAAGCAATAAAGGCAGAGGGATTGTTTTTAACACATTTTGAAAATTCCATTTGTTACTTTCCCTGGTGTCGTTTTGCCTTATAATAAATTATCCATAATAAAAAAATACTACCTTTAACAAATTAGGAAAACGGTAATATCCATTGTTGTTAAAGCCTGAGAAAAGCTTTCTGGTGAACTAGCTAAAGTATAAAATGGGATAATTTTCCTACAAGGGATTTGAAAAGAAAAAAGTTTCAAAAAGCATTAAAAATCTGTTAGTCTTTAGCCTGGGAGGTACATCTCTAAGACAGAACTATAAAACAATGCTTTATTGAAAAATTGTTCACAAAAGCATTGCTAATATCAGCAAAAAATCAAAAATTTCCAAAAATTAAAATTGAATAAATAAATTACTATACATATATAAGAAGACCTAGAGAGAATGACATTGAAAAGTTTTGTACAATGAAAAGCAAATTTAAAATTGTATGTATACTGTGATTCTATTTTTGTTAAAATATTATATGTGCCTATAAATACATAGAGAAATGTTTGGATATCACACTAACACATTAAATGATTTTCTAGAATACATTCTCTGTAGAATGTCAAACAGAGATAATTTCTTTTTTTCAAATTTTGTTTTTAATTATTACAATAAGCATATGTCATGTGAGCAGTATGAAAATATGTAAATGTTATTTAAACTATTGAAAGGCTAAAAAAATCTAACCATGGTGAATAATTAGAACTTTTACAGATTTGCCCTGTGTGATGTGAACAGTAATTTATATAATAAAGTCTAAAAGTCAAAATTAGTTTTCATCAGATTGAATAGAACAGTGGATTCAAGATCAGGATGCACAAATGATGAGATGGATACGAAATGTCTTCCATCCTTAAATTACTAAAACAGTGTTTCCCAACACCAATATCTTTCCTCAATTTTAACTTATCAGTGTTACATTTCCAGCACTTAATGTTGCCTTTTCTGTCATAGCCAACATACAAATCAGAGAAGTCTTTCCCTCCGATCACCTCCCAAATCGGTGATATCTATTCTTTACTCAGTTGCTCAATATAAATATGCATTACAATTTAACTTTTTGGAAACAGCATGCTTACATAAGCATCTGAGTTACTGTCTTTGAGTGCATAGCATGACTTAAAGAAAAGCCAGTACGTACATCATTCTCTAGCCCATCAGTGCCTGCATTGTGGACGTCAGGATAGTGTTTCAGAAACTGGGCTACATAGGTCATGATAGACTTCTCATCTGGTTTATCCACATCAACGTCTGGAAAAACCAAAACCAAATTAATTTATGTTAATTAGATTATAATGATACAAGCTTTGAAATCTAGCCAATTTACCAAAGATACTATACTAAAGGCAGAAGAAAAACATAATTGATACTTAGAAATATTTCTGGGGGTACAAATGTAGTCTGAATCATACAGAGTAGAAATTGTATAATTCATAAAGATGACATTTTAAGAGCTTTTAGAAAAGTAGTACTTGTTTCATTGAAATCTCAATGTTAATTGATCAAAACCCTGAGACACTATTTGGCTATTCAGGCATTCTCCTAATTAATAAAACACACAACATAGGTAAGTTTCAGAATTGCGGTGAGTGGGTCGCATTTAAAACACAGACGTGGCACTTAATAAGTGACTATCCAGCTTGCATAACTACATCTGGCCAAATATAGACCCCTCCCCCCCAAATATAGAGCCACGATATCAAAGTGTCATTTGGAGCGACAGAGCTATAGTGTGTTACCAATTATAGCAGTAAATATTTTTCAAAATGAAAATCAATATGGCGAGATATTATTTATATTTGTGCTGTTTTCAAATTCTCTGTCCTATCAAGAGTCGTGAAAATCATGTGTAATTTCCGGGTGTAAAACATACAAGTCTACTGAGCTGGGCAAACGCTGTTGACTGTACCTTCAGGATCTAGTAACCTGGGTATCCCCAGCTCCGTTTCCGCAATGGTGAAAGCCTCCTCCAGGTTTTCTCGGTTGGACCTTCCTCTCACCCTCTCCAAGTCCACCAGCTCTGGCCGAATAGCATGGATGACTGAATGAAAGGCAACCCCGTTTCTCCAACTCCGCCCGAAGTCTTTGATTTCTATTCCAGTAAGCCTTCATGAGATTAAAAAAATAGAAAGATGTCACAGTCTGAATAGATAATATTCATTTTTTCTCAAGGCCTCGTGCAGAATCCAATGTTCTTAAACAATAAATGATACGGGGCTAGCTATGTTAGTTCACTGGTTTTGAGAAAAATCAAGCAAAACAATATTTTAGAGGGTAAGAAGTTAAGATGTAGAAATTCTAGTGCCATACTTAAAGATTTTTATATTAGATTTTTCCGTGATAGAGATACTCAATTGAAAGCACATTTTAAAGAAAACTAGTTTAGATTAAAATGTCTAGCAAAATAATGGTAAAATTATAAAAACCACCTTTCTAATTAAAATATATTTGTATATAAAATAACGTTTTAAATAATGATAAGCAAATTGTGTTGTACATGCACAGGTTATAATAGACATAATATAATAGACATTAGATGAAATAACATCACTCAGTTCTCTTTTTTTCCCCTATGTTCTCAAAATTTCCATGAACTGAAGCAAAAAACATCTAACTGATAAACTGATTAGCATCAAAAGTTCATAAATGCCCTTAATTTTTATCTCAGTAAACTTAAGATTTACTTTAAATGATGTTTTAGCAATGTACATTCAGCTTTCATAAAATACATTGTCCCAAAAAGAACATCATAACATATAATCACTGGCTTTCTCACAAATATTTAAAAAACAATTCTGTGAGACTTCAGTGTTTGTCAAGTAGTCTTGAACCCTGTCCCAGTTCTCTTAGAGTTTCTGTCTTTGGTAGAACATTTATAATTTTTTCAGCCGACATATTGGCCAATATCCACCAAGATTGGGCAGAATGTTCTGTTATCTATTCACTTGTACATTCGCCTCTGGATCCATCTTCCTTTGCTATCTACATTTTCCCTTTGCCCACATTTCCTCACTTAAAAACTACATAATTTAGTAACACTAATTCTATCTTCTTTATGTTTATTTTTGTCTTTCCTTATTTTGGCTTTTCAATCACTTTAAAAATACAACTCCCTGTGTTCAGGGCCTCAATATTTTATAATGATAAGTGCTTGTTTACAACTATTTTCCGGAAGTGAAGAATAAGATCCAGATTAGATTTAGGCATCCAAAACAAAACAGAAAGTGAGTTCATTTTACATGTCATTCAGGAAAATCATACAAAAGCTCAGCTTCTATGTGAACACATCTCACCATAAAATATTGCTATGCTCAACTGAAAGCTCTACTGAAATTGCTACAAAAAGATACTTTTTCAAAGTAGTATTTTTCTACCCAGCATTATCACATAAATATACACACATGTAAATTCACTATACCGAGAAGGAAACAAAACCAGAAGCAAATTATTTAGCCACAAAGCTGAAGTTGACAAAGAAATCCACATTCCAGCTAGAAGATGAAACCAAAGGATAAAATGAATAAATAAAACTGCTAGAAACTTTCAGGAAATAATAACATGTAATATTTCAAAATGTGAGCCCTAGTTCACATTATTACTAAAGGGAACCCAATAGTCTTACAACGAGATAACCAAGTTTAAATCTTAAATTTACTTGTGTAAAGATTATTTAAGAGGAGCAAGTCCAAAGCAATGACTTTAATAGAATTATCCCGCATGCTACTAATCAAAGTGTAGGGATTAAATGACTTCATCAGACCCAGTGACATAAACGAAGAAGGAACTGGTTTTATCACAGCATTTTCCTAGAGTGTTAGTATTTCCATTTTAACTCAAGGAAAG